TATTTATAGGAATGGAATTATTTTATTTATATGTATATGTATAAAATTAAATAATAAATTAATAATAATAATATTGATTTTGATACCAATAATATCGCACAAGGCGGTGGCGGAAATTTTAAGAATAGGAAATTTATAGGAGAAATTGGTTCTTATAATTGAGGGATAACAAAATGAAATTATTGATATATTGAAAGATAATTAATTTGTTTCATTCTTTTTCTTTCTTTTTCTGATTATCTACCCACCTACCAACCTATCTTCTATATATCTATTGTATTTATCGATCTATCGATCTATCTATCGATTTATCTATCGTTCTATCTATCTATCCAATTGGTCTCTCTCTCTTTCATTCAATTACCTATCTATCTAATTTATTTATTTGTTTATTTATTTTTATAGGTATCTATCTATCTATCTGTTTGTTTATCTACGTAGTGTAGTGTAATGTAGTGTGGTGTAGTGGAGTGTGGAGGAATGTAGTGTAGTGTAATGTAGTGTAGTGGAGTGTGGCGGAATGTAGTGTAGTGTAATATAATATCCTGTAATGGAGTGTAGTATAATGTCATATATATAATATTGTGTAGTGAAGTGAAGTGATATCTGAACCTCCAAAAAAAGGTCCGAACCCCAAGTGGTTTAAATATTTTGATTTCGAAATGTGTTTCGCGCCACAACGGCGTGCTTTTTTTCGACATCTGAACCTCCAAAAGTGGTCCAAACCCCTGGTCTTTTAAATATTTTGAAATGGAAATATATTTCGGGCCACAACGGCGTACACTTTTTCGACATCTCAACTTCCAAAAATAATCCAAACCCCTGGCGATTTGTATATTTTAATTTGGAAATATATTTTGTATTATAATGGTATACATTTTTTCGACATCGTAACTTCCAAAAATGGTCCGACACAAAGATGTTTTGTTCATTTTAATTTAGAAATGTATTTCGTGTCACAACAATATTTATTTTTTCGATATCGTAACTTCCAAAAATGGTCCGACTCTGAGGTGGTTTGTGCATTTTGACTTGGAAATGTGCTTCGCGCCACTTTTTCGACATCGCAAGTTCCAAAAGTGGTCGACATTGATGTGTTTTGTTTATTTTAATTTCGAAATGTATTTCGTACCACAACGACGTATACTTTTTCTACATCTTAATTTCCAAAAATGGTCCGAATATAATCTATTTTAAACATTTTGATTTGGAAATATATTTCGTACCATATCGGCATACAATTTTTCATTTTTCCTCTGGCCAGCTGGCTCCGCACCCGCCGTTTTAGCGAGC